TTCTAATAGCTTCTTGTTACTACTAGCAAGGCACCTGTTACTACTAGCGTGGCACTTGTCACTAATAGCTTCTTGTTACTACTAGCAAGGCACCTGTTACTACTAGCGTGGCACCTGTTACTAATAGCTTCTTGTTACTACTAGTAAGGCACTTGTTACTACTAGCGTGGCACCTGTTACTAATAGCTTCTTGTTACTACTAGTAAGGCACTTGTTACTACTAGCGTGGCACCTGTTACTAATAGCTTCTTGTTACTACTAGTAAGGCACTTGTTACTACTAGCGTGGCACCTGTTACTAATAGCTTCTTGTTACTACTAGTAAGGCACTTGTTCCTCATTTCGTTCGCCTCGCGGAGCTGCAGCTTGGCGCTCTCGGTGGTCTCCTGCGCCACGCGGACCTTCTCGATCAACGGCGCCACCTGTGAAATAAACAACACGGCGCCACCTGTAACTAGCTTCTTGCTTCTAGCGGCATCCAACCTACTTGCGATAGCCACCTAGTAGCTTCTTGGTAAACTGAAACTGAAGAGAACAAAAACGCAAACTGAAGAAAGAAGAAATGTTGAATCTCCGGTGCCTTCGTGTAGATCTTGTTGTAGGTTACGATGTTCACCACCTCGTTGTGTTCTTCCACAGTTCCACAGTTCTCGCATGCAATTGCACCGTAACAGCGCAACCAACCTCATGCAAGAATGTGTGTGCATGACTCACGCTGAGTGCTGCACCCAGTTTGTCAGATGTGCAGCCTCCAAGTATAAAGATAACATGTTAAAACTCTCAAGACAAAAACGATCTCAGTGAGTTGGAAAGAAGATGCACCAAATCAGTCGCGTGACCTAGACTGAATCTGCCAAGAAACTGCTAAGCTTTTGCTCTTCATAGACTCAAAATTTAATTGACCTCAGTCACATGAAAGCCAACTTTTGCTCAAGAAAATCCAAGCACTGAATAAATACTTGAGGCTGTCCTGTTCACATTTAGAGCAATGAATGTATGGAATTGCATGTCTTCGTACGTGTATGGGGTGCTGGTGTGTTTTGTATCACACCATTACAAGAGCTTCTTTGTTAAGTAGAAGTACATGAAAGTACCCGTTCTTCTAGTAGGTTGGAGGCCATCGGGCCACTGTGAGGCTTGTCAGGCTTGTTGTTGGGCCTTGTTATTCGCATTGTTTCTTTCATGGTGCCATGTAGGCAGATCTGGCCCAAGGTGGAGAGTAGTCGCGTTTCTGTTGGCCGGCTAGTGCCTTGTCTTTCAAAGCTCTAGGCAAAAAGCAAAACTACCAACACAAATCGAGAAAACAATTATCCTTTCTGGTGTCAAAAGTCTGAGTGGATCCTTCTATGGAGTCGTCCATGGCAAAATATGGCAAACAGGTGAAGGATGAGAACAAATGGCAATCAAAATGACAAATTAGAAACAAAAAGCTACTAGTAACAAGTGCATCGCTTCTAGTAACAAGTACCTTACTAGTAGTAACAAGAAGCTACTAGGAACAAGTAATTTGCTTCATTTTTTGCTCCTTACAAGGACCGAGTAGAAACAATAAACTTTCATTTGTTTTCCTTTATATTTAAATTAATAGCTTCGTTACTACTAGTAAGGCACTTGTTACTACTAGCGTGGCACCTGTTCCTAATAGCTTCTTGTTCCTCAGCGATGGATTCGTCAGCGTGTCGAAGCGAAGTTTGTTCGCTCAGAGCGAATCGGGAGCTCACCGGCGCGCCCACAAGGTAGGAAGCGCATCGCGTGGCTCGGTTTGAGTCGTTTGGGTCCTAGTAGCGATGCCCTTTGCTCCTAGTAACATCCTTGCTCCTAGTGGTCAGGCAAGGGGCCGCTGGTAGCGTCCTTACTCCTAGTAGTAAGGCCAGGAGCCCCTAGTAGCGTCCTTGCTCCTAGTCGTGATGCCCTTTGCTCCTAGTAGCGTTCTTGCTCCTAGTAGTATGGCCAGGAGCCCCTAATAGCGTCCTTGCTCCCAGTAGCGATGCCCTTTGCTACTAGTAGCTTCTTGTTCCTAGTAGTAATGCCAGGAGCTATTAGTAGCGTCCTTGCTCCTAGTAGCGATGCCCCTTGCTGGCATGTGGGTGAAGAGCGTCATTTATCGTGCACGGGCAACATGCAAAGCACGTCTTGCTCCAAAACAAACGACTGGGTGTTTGGTGGTGCAGTTCCACACGTTGCACGGTTTGCAGCATGGGATGCCTTCGAGCGAAGGAGAAGTGAGAAAGCTGTTGAGCCATGTCATCGGTTCACACATTTCCCCCACCAGAAGTTCTACGAAGTGTACTTTCGTGAATTGAAGTGATAGCACAAATCTATTTGCTACCTCGCCATGCTTGGTGATAAGAAGTAGAAACAATAAGCTACTAGGAACAAGTGCCACGCTAGTAGTAACAGGTGCCTTACTAGTAGTAACAAGGTTCACTACTAGGAACAAGTGCATCGCTACTAGGAGCAAGGACGCTATTATTCCCTTCTTTGGAGGCAAGCCCTAAAACAACAGAAGGTGTTCGAAAGAAATCGAGTGCGAATGAGTGCAGAGGGATAAATCTGAAAGAGATTGTGCCGTTTTGCCCTTTGCCAGGGCATCCATCCTACAGTCGCTAGTGCCTATTCCGTTCAGGGCAAAAATGAACTCCTGACACTCAAAACACTCCAAACTCAGTTTCTTTAATGTTGATTCTATTTTGACTACGTTTCTTAGGTTAAAGAGACGCGTTTGGGTTCTTCCCACTCTGGGCTCGGCCAATCAAAGGCTCCGTGTTCATCAAGACCTGGCTCCGACTCACCGGAGTGCCGTCTACCCGAAAACAAAACAAACACGTTCAGTTAGCATGCTCAGCTCTCAATGTCAGCCCCCCACCACCTCCCAACTGGGAACTTGGAGCGACCGTCCCCGTCTCACCCTTACAGTTCTCGACAGTTCTCGAACAGGCGGTTTGCCTGTTCGGGAATGTTGTCGGCATCGAAGCTCTTCACATCATCAATGAACCTGCAAAAAGCGCAAACGAGGATGCTATTAGGGACTCCTGGCATCGCTACTAGGAGCAAGGACGCTACTAGGGGCTTCTGGCCGTACTAGGAGCAAGAAGTTATTAAGAACAAAGGGCATCGCTACTAGGTGACCCGAAAAGTGACAAAGAGTGAGGCATTGCACTACTAGTAAGGCACTTGTTACTACTAGCGTGGCACCTGTTACTACTACGTAGAGAAAGAACACGAAGAGCTTCCTTACTTCATGCGGTACCGCTCCGTGCGGCCCAGAAACTGTTGAGGAGACTTCATCATTAATTGGCAGCCTTTCCAGTCCAGCTTCCGTTTCTCCTAAGTCGTCTCGACCGTCGAAGAAGTGAAGAACAGCTTCCGTGAGGCCGGGACATGCTTCAACAAGAAGCCACACGCAGCTACGACATCAATGCATTCTTGCGCAGGCTTTCCAAAGGTTTTCAGCTCGGTGATCGAGGCCTCAAGAACAACCGACTGGAGGAGAAATCCGAACTTGGCACCTCGGCTTTGCCTTTTCCCTAAAAGTCGAACCAAATCACTAGTGTGAGCGTGAGCTAACCTGCGTCCTTCTACTAGTAGCTACCTAGCTTGTACTAGCTACCTCTAGCTACTACCTACCTCCTAGCGGCCTACCCACCCCCCTAAATGTTACTACTGGGAACAAGTGCCTTACTAGTAGTAACAAGTGCATCGCTAGTTAAGCTGTTCAAAACTCGAAGAGATCTCTCTCCGTTCTCTCCGCAGTGTGGGGCGAGGAAGCACCTTGTCGAGACAGTCCACCGCGGCTTTGGCCTCATCCGGTCGCAGCGGGTTTGGTACAAGTACTGTACACTGTCAGCTTTGCACAGAAGGCATTTCATGGCTTAGAATCAAGAGAGCAAAGTATAGCCAGGAGCGCCTCTAGTAGCTTCAATTGTTACTCATAGCAAACATGAAGAACATTGTCGGAACATATGTCGTTTGCTAGGTCCATATCTCTCTCTCTCTCTCTCTGTCTCTTCCTCTCTCTCTTCCTCCCTCCACCGCCTTTTCCATCGCGGGCAGAGCTTCTTGAAGCTCATTGTCTGCCTGGCATCGTAGCTCCCTCAACACACATGTTTTTGGAACTGCATCAGCCTATTTGTCTGTTGACAGGTCAGAGCTATTTCTAAAATCTTCAGATAATTGACAAATATTCATTGCCCAGTCTGCCACTCTGTGTTCCACTCTTTTTGGGTCACATTGCCTTTACATTATTTTTACATTCTGTCCCACAAGGCCCTCGATCGACCTCAGTCTTCATTCGCTGTGCTTCTGCTGCTAAAGCTTCACATTTGGACTGCTCTTGGCCTTGGACGTGCACATCACTGCTCCAAGTAAGAACGAGCAAAAAGTCGCGGCAAGTCTATCATGCGGAACTTGGTGTCACTTTGTTCCCTCTCGCTACTAGTAACAAGTGCCTTACTAGTAACAAGAAGCTACTAGTAACAAGTGCCACGCTACTTGTTCCCTCTCTCCCGTTCGAAGGCACGGAATTCCTTACTTTGGTTTTGTGCATCCAACAAGCTTCGCTGATTTTCTGTTCCTTAAGCGGCTTTCTTTAGGCTGTTTGGCTGTTTAGATGTTTAAAAAAACAAAACATGAAAACACAAACAAACATTGGCTAGCTTCTAGCTAGGCAACCAAAACGAATGCGATGCTCATTCTCCTGTGGGGGTTCTGGTAACACCAAACTCTTTGCTATCTCTTCGCCATCGCTTGGGGATCGCTCTGCGATGTGAGTTTGGTTCTGGTGAAACTGGCGCAATCGCTTTCCTCGGGGCTGGTGTGCTTGGGGCCGCAACTGGTGTCAAATGCAACACCCATTGGTTTTATTTACCTCACTGACGTCGACACATTTCACGGTGTTCAGGGCTGCAACTGCATGTTTGAGGGCTGTAATGCAATAGAATGCAGTTCGCATGGCTTAAGCAGCTTGAGCCTGTTGAGCCTCCTATGTTTTGTGCTTTTCCTGTCAGGATAGTGCTTCTTTTCGTCAGGTCATTTTGGGCACGTCGCTGCATTCCGCACTATTCAGTTCAGCCTTCAGTTTGTACATGCTCATTTTCAACCTCCATCGCTGTTAGGTGGAGGCCATCGCTCTTAGGTTGGAGGCCGTCGCTATACATTCATGGACTTGCGAAGCCCGCGCGGTGCAGCAGGCATCTTTGTAACTTAGCTCTCTCTCTGAGTCTTCCTCCCTGCCTGGTGTAAGCTGCCATTGCGCTGTTGGGACATGGACAACTCACTTAAACACCCAATGCTGGCTGCGGAGTTAAGCGATATGAAGAGATATGAAGCGGGTTGAGAAGGTCGCAAGCCGTCGCAAGCCGTCGCAAGCCGCAAACCTCTGAGCCTGGCACGTGCTGCCTCCCTCTCAACCGTCGCTGCTGCTTGCGCGACTGTGACCTCGAACGTGACCCCCGGTGACGGTGACCCAAGCGGCCGGTAGAATTCTGAAGACATTCGCCGACTGTGAGCTAAACGAAACAGTTGGTTAGGTTCCAAATGAACGAAGTCAATCTCCCATGAATGAAGGGTTGCTCGAAACCCTGCGTTCTGAGCATTGCTCGAAGCCTTCCTTTCCTCTTGCCTGCTTGATGAGCTCTTCGGTTGAAATCTTCTTTTCATCCACCTCATCCCAATCTTCAGGTCAGGGGACACTGCCAATGGGCGAATCAAAACTGGCCTGCTGTAGGGTGATTTGCAAGTCTCTCTTAAGGTCGGCAACACCTTCTTGGACCTCGGACTGTCAAACCGAATTGCACTCCTGGCCTTACTACTAGGAACAACTACTAGGGGCTCCTGGCCTTACTACTGGGAGCAAGGACGCTACGAACGGGGCTCCATTCTTTCTAGGAACAATGTTTGCTACTAGTAGCGAACATTGTTACTACTAGCTTCTTGTTACTACTAGTAAGGCACTTGTTACTAGAAGCGATGCACTTGTTCCTAGTAGCTTCTTGTTACTACTAGTAAGGCACTTGTTCCTAGTAGCGATGCACTTGTTCCTAGTAGCTTCTTGTTACTACTAGTAAGGCACTTGTTCCTAGTAGCGATGCACTTGTTCCTAGTAGCTTCTGTGTCTGTGTCTCTGGGGTCCGAATTATGGCCCCGGCGTCGTGCATGATCGCCAAGCCCCTTTCAAGCCGCGATACGTTGAAGTCCACAGAGGCCTGCTTCTCAGTGAGCATCTGCACCTGATTGCGCAATTGAAACCACCTGTCACCAAAAAGAAAGAAGAGATTGGAGAAAACGAAGAAGACGAGAAACACCCCACGAAGCGCGAAGCACGAAGCGGATGAGTTCGAGACATAGAAATTGATGAGCTCGAGGAAGGACTTCGGAGTGGTTGAGTTGTACCGTCGCTCCTCCTCCAGATATCGTCGATTAGCCTCCAAACCATCGAGCTTGTGACAGCTCAAGAAAGCCAAAAACAGCTGTGTTCACCCATGTTCACTTGCACTGCTGAGAGGTGGCAATCTAAAATATTCTCTAGTAACTAGTATTGCTTCATCGCGATACATCGCAATATGTTTAAAGTTTAAACATATACAAAAAAATCATAAACAACAAACATAAAATTGAAAACATTTTCTCTATATATTATGTATGTTCATTAATTAATGTGCATCATATGAAATACTTTCATAGTGATTCGTTTCAATAGTTCTTCAGAACAGAGTCGGAAAAAAGAGCTCTGGTGTTTCTGGTGCTTCGTACCCTGGCATCATCAGCTTCATCTGTTCGCGGAATGGTTTGGAACAAATTTGGCACGAAGACTTGCAACGAGTGGGTGATTTGCAACGAATGAGATTCATCTGGATTGATTTGGTGGGTGATTTGCGGAGCAAGGACGCTACTAGGAGCAAAGGGCATCGCTACTAGGAGCAAGGAAGTTACTAGGGGCTCCCGGACACTACTACTAGTAACAAGAAGCTAGTAGAAACAATAAGAAGCTATAGAATTTAATAAATAATTGTATTCTGGTGTTGTCTTTGCTCCGACCAGCACCACTTCCAACGGTGCAAAACCCGTCGGAATAGAACCGTCAGGCTAAGACTGTGTGAACCGGACGATTCGGGACACTGTCACTAAGAGTCACTAAGAGGAGCCCCTAGTAGCGTCCTTGTTACTAGTAGTCTCTTAAATGTCTTTGTTTGTTTCTAATAGCGATGGCCTCCACCTGGTAGCTCCTCTCTCCTCTTCCCACCTGGTAGACGGAGACATGCACTTCTGCAGAGTGATGAGCGATGCTCGCCAAGGTTTCCTAGAAATGACCGACAAGCTTTGCAAGCAAACTCTCAAAGGCAAATATCAGGAACTTTGCAAGCAATTCTCCTCGTCTTGAATGTTGTTTTGGCTCAGCACCACCATGAAGCGTTGCGCAACCCCAACAAGGGCATCTCTCGGCCAAGGATGAAAAACATCCAAGACCATGCAACTGATCAAAGCCTTGGGAGCACTTTGCTTCGAATTTGTCCGTCCGTTGGGAGGGTAGAGATGGGTAGAGGGATACATTAGGACGAGGAAGAGAGGTTACGGGAATAGAAGGCTCAGGACTAGGACGAGGAAGAGCATAATAGCATGAGGATGTCCGTGAACATGAGGATAAATATGGATGAATATCAGGCTGAGGATGAGGATGAGAATTGACAAGTGCCTGACGCTCCAATTCAAGGTGCTGGCAGCAGCTTCAAGCCAAAGAAGCAATCCGTTTAGGTACTGAAGAGATACCCCAAACTCATGCGTTGCCACCGTCCAAGAATTCGAGGATGTAGCTGTGTTCCCCATCACAGATCGAGATGCGGGAACCTAAACCTAAAAACCGTGCCAATAAGCTACTAGGAACAAGTGCATCGCTTCTAGTAACAACTGCCTTACTAGAAGTAACAAGAAGCTACTAGAAACAAGTGCCTTGCTAGTAGTAACAAGTGCCTTACTAGTAGTAACAAGAAGCTACTAGAAACAAGTGCCTTACTAGTAGCAACAAGA